GGAAATGCATATAATCTAAAATTGGCAAGATGGAAGATTTTGGCAAAAAAATTGTTAGATGATCCCCCTTAAAAAACGTGCTCCTACACTGAATATTTTCTACATATTACATGATTTACTGAAGGAGCCAAAAGAATAATGTACGGTGCTCAAAGACTGGTGGCATGGCTTTAAAAGAGCCTTCTGTTCGATTCCATTAGAACAAGTAGACTTACAATTGTAACTCTAAAGCAGTGAATTACCACATTACCATCGCTGGTAAATGAGATGGTAACTGACCACTGGTAAATGTGTTACAATCACATGTTAGTGAATCTGGACCCAGGGCTACAAATAAAATGTTGACTGTATGACATTGTACAAATTGACTTCTAGTTAGCAGTTTCTACTCTTATATATCATGCATACTTTCAGTATTAAAGTACAATTACTTAGTTTAATTTCTTTTGCAAATATTAACCTAAGTGCATCACTGACTCTAACAGTAAAACCAGTGCTAGTAATTACAGTGTCAAGAAGCAGAGAAGTATTTGTTCGGAAGTGAAACGAGGTTATTCAACACTTAAATGTGGAAGACTAGTGAATGCCATTACTTTTGAATTCAGCCTCATTGCATTGAACATCTGTGATGATCCTCAAAATAGAGAAAATAATAGTAATCTATCAAAAGACTTTGGAAATATATGCAGTAAGCCAAAGCAAGCGTTATATGGTGCATGGGAGCAGGAATGTATAAACAAATGAATGTAGCCCAAGCAGACATTAACTGTTGAATGGAAAAACACTCTACCGTGTTGAAACTATGGTAGAAAAACCCACAATGCACAAACTAGATTTACTGAAGAAAGTGAGACAACAGTTTCGGAATCGTTCTCGATTCCATCTTCGATTCCATCGAGGACGATTCCGAAACTGTTGTCTCACTTTCTTCAATAAATCTAGTTTGCGCATTGTGGGTTTTTTCTACCAGACATTAACTGGTTTATGATTGTACATAATAATACTTTAAAAGGAGGAGGAGGAGGAAGTGACACAGCAGAATGATGATGATGATTAAATGGCTGGGCATAGAGACAGGAAAAGCAAACAAATTTCCTCACCGGTCTATCTCTCCTCTCCTCTTGCCATGGCCTTTGCTGCATGTCTCTGTTGGGCATTCCAAATCCTGCATTCTGTGGACCCTTGAAGCCTTGTTCGAAGGGCTGAAATGAGAGCAAAGTGAAAGAATCTGACCACATTAAGTAGGGAAGTTTGGAAAATATCAAAGTATAACCGACTTATTGCGATTGCCATGGTGTATGTGCTGTCTGCACTAGGAAGCACCAACTAAACTCATCATATATATTCTGGCAAGAATGATGGGTCCCTTAATCCCTTAGTTGATGGTAAATTGAGAAGGCCTTTAAAGCTGTATCTTACTCGAATAACACATAGCAGAGGTTTGTAGGCTTTTGTTCCAATGCCAAAGGAGACAGGCTTTCAATCAATTAACAAAAATCAAATTTCAAGGTGCTCTGGATTAATAATAGGCCATATAATTATGGGGCAATTCATCAAAATTTGAATGGCATTATTTCAGAGACATTTGCAAAGACCAATCCCAATAATTAAATACGATATAGTTAAATATATTTTTCAAATATTGAAATAGAAGATCGATTCATGCATACTTCATTGCTGAATACCCTTCCCTCTCACCTCGTCTTTCTTGTTTTCTGAATGAGCAGGCTCCTCTGGTCTATTAGCCTCTTCCTTGTTCTCTGTGTCCTTGTGTTCATTTTCTTCCTCGTCATCATACCAATCTTCTGGTAGTGTAAACTTTTCCTTGCTATGCGGTACGCCAATTGGCCCTATGTGGAGGCGTTCAGCACCAAGTTTAACATCTGAGAAGGATACAATATTTACAAATCTCTGATCTATCACAGACACCTAAACTCCTAATACCAGTGGCTCATGCTAATCCAACCTGATATTAATATCTTACAAACAAATCTGAAATAAGTCTAATTGATATGAATGTATTCATTCTATCTTTTTATTCATCATTACTATCATCTTTTAATTTTGAATCAATGAACAGACTATAACCCAAAAATGATGATCGTAAATATTACCCTAGCGCCTTTAAAAGGTTTGAAAAAATTTGAACTTTGGCTGAGTATTCTTTTGTGACTGGGGCGAGAGAGAATGCCTATCTTATAAAACTAAATGGAACTATCAATTCTCATTCATCAACTACTAATGTTCTTGAGCAAAATATAAAATAATAAAACAAACACACAGCATAAAGAATAGAAAAGAGAAAGAGAAAATAAGAAGATAAAATCCCCACCCTGGTCGTCTCCCAACGAACCAACTACCTTGGGGCCACTCACCAATCTTCTCGTCCTCTTGGTCATGGAACACTGTCTTGGCCGACACAGGATTCTTCTGGTTTGGCGTCATGTTTTTCTTCTCTGTGGGAGCCTGCATATCTGGGAGGTCCAGCCCTGGGATGGTGCCAGGCTCATTCATGCCGAAGCCGAAGCTGCTCTTGTCTCCTTTCCGTTGGTCATCTGTTTGGAGGACAGAAGTGTCATTACAAATGCAGATTCTTCCCCCCCCCTTAAAATTGACAGGGAATAAGTCTTTTTAGAGATATATACGTTTAAAAAGAAAAGATAAAGAATAAAAAAAGAAAAGAAAAAAAGAAAAAAAAAGAAAAAAAAGAGAGAAAAAACATTGGAGAAAATTAACACAGCAAAGGGCGTGAGGTGCCACTCGCTACACTAATAACTCATCTACCCTCGGAAAGAATGAGAAAAGGAATGGAGGGGGAGGGGTGAATAGAGAGTGAGACATTATCTAAAGATATCTAATAGAATTTTGTCTCCAGATAGCCTCTTGAAGACTTTCCTTGAAGATACAATTGTGCATGAAAATGAAAGAACACATTTGGGGGTCAGAGTGACTTATCATCATGCCACAATCACACAAGAGACTGTGTGTGTGTGTGTGTGTGTGTGTGTGTGTGTGTGTGTGTGTGTGTGTGTGTGTGTGTGTGTGTGTGTGTGTGTGTGTGTGTGTGTGTGTGTGTGTGTGTGTGCGTGCATGCATGAAAAAAAAAAAAAAAAAAAAAAAAAAAAATATATATATATATATACACACACACACACACACACAATACATATGTATATATATATATATATATATATATATATATATATATATATATATATATATAATATATATATATATATATATATATATATATATATATATATATATATATATATATATATATAATATATATATATATTATATATATATACACACACACACACAATATATATACCTACATATACATATATGTATGGATGTGCATGTGTGTATATATGTATGTTTATATATTTCTATTTCTATTTCTATTTGTATGTATGTATGTATGTATATAATATATATATATATATATATATATATATATATATATATATATATATATATATACATACACACACACACATTGATATCCAATTGTGCAATACACTCACTTCTTACTGCACCACTATATCCAAATATTCAACAGAAAGAATCTAAGGCACAGTGTGCATAGGAAATCTCTGCAGTGAAGAATGTATCCTATTAAAAAATTAAGAAATATCAAGGTGTTTCAGTGACAAAATGATAATAAAAAGTCAGTAATTATGAATATTGCTAAAACATGCTCTCTGGCCAGTGAAACCCAACCCTCCCCAATGGAATGTGATTAATCCAGGTTTATTCTGAAGGCAAATAAAAATAAAGCAGAACTGAAAAAAAAAAAAAAAAAAAAAAAAACAAGGAACTTGGAAAAAAAAGAAAAAAAGAAAAAAAGAAAGAAAGAAAAAAAAAAAAAGGTAAAAATAATCCACCAAATAAAGAATGGAACATCTACATCAATTATGTGCATGGTTTAGGGAGAAGTAAAATACATGGTCGAACAGATTGAACTAACCTTTCCCGGTCAGCTGCGACCCACTGTTCTGATCGAGTAGGCTCTCCCTTGACCCAGAGTTCCACCATGCAGGGTTTTGTCCTTGGGTAAGTAGATGAGAGCTCTCAGTTACCCAGGAATGAAGACACACGCACACAGATGCAGACAGACACACGCAGACTTTCAAGCACCTAATAGACCCACTTCTAAGATTACCGTATTAAAAAAAGTAGAAAAAAAAGAAAAAAAAAGAAAAGAAAAAAGGCACCAGCCAGTCAAAAATTGCGGCCTTGAACAAGATGGACAGAAGAACGGTAAAGACGAATTAGTACCAAGATTGCATAAATGTTATAAGGAATACTCATGTATACTGTACAGAAATCTTGCATGCTTTTCAGTACAAATCATATAAGGAGAGAAAGTGCAAAATAATAGCCATCTACGGACAAAAATCTAGACCTACGATAATTACAAATCAGATTACAGATTCAACACATACTGTCTTCATGCATATCATAAGTTGCACCAATCAATATCACAGAATATAATAAATATGAAACAAATTACCAGATATTTGCATGAACATATTATATGTTCCAATTAAAAAATATATATAAAGACATAAAATATAAAACAAATGTGAAAAGAAAGAGAGAAAGAAAAATGACGATTCAAGATAATTCTTCCAGGCATAAAGTTACACTTCCTATAGAGCATAAAGTTTAGGTTATATATCTTATATCTAGATTACATACAACTGGACAAGATTTAATATGTGTGTGTGTGTGTGTGTGTGTGTGTGTGTTTGTGTGTATATGCATATCTATTATATATATTCTGTTTAACTGCTATTCTAATATTTTCTATCAGTAATTTTAACCTTTCTGTGGGGAGGGGAGGGGCACTGAAAATGTGATGAAGTAGATTTTATCACTTTTCTAGTCTCTGTAATTGGGCTGCTCTTTGTGAAACATGCGTGTCGCTGCATGATTGAGTGAGTGTGTGTGAGATAAAAAGAAAAGAGAAAATCACCATAAAAATGGCTTTA